TTTATCCCTCCATCTTTTTCGATTAATTCAAGCTATAAAATGTTACAAATAAAAAGGGTATGCGTAAATTACTTTCATGCCAGATTCTTACATGTGTGAATGAAAAACATATGTGAAAGCAATTGAAATAAACGGAACCTGTGCATAAAGCGCAGGTGACAAAAATGAAAAGCAAAAACCCTCGTGCCGTGGGTGTGACCATCTTTTAAACAGTAGCAAATCTCTTTGGATTATTATTTTACACCAGCCATGGCATATATAGCATCGATATCACATATATGTAGTCATGTAGAGACCCTCTTAATTAGATTCCTTTCTATGAAGACTGGTGCATACTGACTCAAGTTTAGTTGATAGTCTCAACCGGAGTCATTTAATTAGTAGTTGTGCGGAATGACTAAATAACACTAATACAACTTACTAATAATTGTGCCGGATCAAATTCGTGTTGGTGCACGTCAAGCAATATCTAAACAGCGTAATCCAAACGTGTTAGTCGTCTTCTTTGTGTCGTGTCCAAAACTTTCACTTTGCTTAAGTGGTGGATTGCCATGGTGGGTAAGGTCTTTCTCTCTAACTCAATGCATCATGAGTTTAAATTCTTCCTCTCATATTAGTGTAAATTAGTATAAAAGATCGCTTGTGACACTGAAGGGTCTTGGCCCTAATCATCCCCTATGAGGAAATTTAGCACATCAACTATCAAGTATATGTTGACTAGGGTGGCCATCGAACAAACAGGTTATTTTTTTATAATTTTTGTTACAGTTGGTCATGGCTCAAGGATAATCTGGGCAGGAAAATTCCAAGGCTTATGTGCGCTTTTGTGGAAAAGGGCTCAATAATGTCATTCTTGACCGTCTTCAAAGACATATCTTTATCTCTATCGCTCACATTACGTATACGAGTATAACGCCGATTGCATGCTTGTCCACAGTTAATTACACTTTGTCAAACTTGGTTTTGTTGGCATTTTTTAACCAGATGTGCCTGTCTACTTCCTTGCCAAATAAACTCCAAGATTTCTGGCATCACCAATTAATGCAAGGTAGGGTTCCAACCACAGTAGAGTACAGTGTATATATACACACACACACTACCTGATTAAAGTTCTTTCTTTTTTAGAATGAAAACTTAAAGAATCCAAATCCCATATTGACACAACCGATTCGAGACTTTAAATTCCAACATTTTCTTGAATTATAAGTCTTTATATAATACCTCTATATTATTGATAATGGCATGAGTCTGTAGTACATCAAAATTAATATGATGACCAAATGGTTGTTTACTAGTATTATTTATGAAAGCTGTTATATTACTATCACTTCAACCATGTCATCCTGCACTAAGTGTCTGCATTGAAATCGTAACTAGCCTCTCGCGGTGAATAAATGGGGACTCCAATTTCACCGGTCGGAGGTTTAGCAGTGCAACAACGACAGAAGGGAAAGTAGAGTCCACGGACTTTCTTGTATATGCAAGAACCATGTTGCCCGCATTTCCGTAAGCAAGAATAATCGCAAAATTGTTCCTGTGGTGAACCGGGCTTGCAAGATTGAGCAGCTACATCTTTGAAAGCTGAAAAACATCAATTGAGCTTTGTTAGCTAACATATATGGTTGGTTTTATTGATATAGGGTTAGTTTTACGTATAAATGTCGGGTTAGTACAAGTGCAATTGAAAATGTGTAAAAGATCATATATAATCGGGACTCGTAATGGGAAGCCTTTCCAAGTTGCAGTTTTAAGGGTAGGTAAAATACTTATGTTGAAGATATAAATATTTAAATAATTTACATTTCATTTACATCTGAAAGGAGATGGGAGCCGTGAGAAGAAAGCTATATATCATGTGGACCAAGAGAGCTGTATCATATGAATCTAAATTTACATATCCTCAGTTTGAGTAAAATTAAATCTCCCAAAATGTAAATGAAACATAAATGTGATTCTCACAAATCACAATTCGAAAATATATAAAAGTTATGGAACAACAACGGTTATTGGCACGTTAGCATGTACTCAAAACATGTAGAAATCTAAGAAAGAAAATACAGTTAAAATGAGTGTAGAATGACTATTTTGAAATATCAATAACAGTTATCGTTTAATGTTATTGACTAGATAAGTTTTGTTCCTTAAAATTAAAGAAATAGTTGTTATTTTATCTATGAATTTACCAAGGGAGAAAAAAGAAAGATGAAAAGGGTTAAAAAAAAGGGGGAAAGGTGTTTGCATTAAACAGACCTGTGCATAAAGCATGGGTTACGATAAAGAAAAGCAACAACTCTCGTGATATGCCCATCTTTAAAACTTCAGCAATTTTCTTTGGACTATTTCATTCCAACAGCCACAGGATGATATATAGTCATGCAGTTCGAGACCCTCTTAATTTGATTTCCTTTATATGCAGATTGAAAAGTGGTGTGTATCTGAAAAGTCAATGGCTATTTGATTTATTTCCTTATCAATATAAAAAAATATATATATCTCTAATTAACTGAACTATGAGGTGCTTGTTTTCTTTATGAAAATCCAATTGGATTAATGATTGGGCTTCACAGATCCGCCATCCATGAGAGGAATATAAATGATGGAATTATCCAGACACATCTCTTTTTAACTTTCCATATTTCTTATTAATTTTTGTCTATCTATTATCTTAAATTCATTCAATTTGACGATCGAAAATTAAGTCACATGCGTGAAAAGTAAAAGGCAATCATCCAATACAAATACAAATTCAAGAGGGGTACATGAAAGTTTTTATTCTATTTCGGATTACATCCATCCATTATCCATAATACAATATGATTATTGAATGCCACAAAATAAAGCTTTGTGCTTTGAGCAAGTGACCCATCTTGTAGCTGGATTTTTAGGAACAATCTTCTGGGAAGCTTGAGTTCAATGGCATTTAGCATCTCAGTTTACCCTGCAAATAAATTACATCCATAAATATTCTTAATTAGCATGCTAATTTCTACGTAAAACTCAGTATCGACCAGAAACGCAAAAAGAAGGAGGCATTTATATATGTATAAATCAACACAAGGCTTACTCAGAGCAGTTAGTAGAGGGGTAAACCGTATAGGGGCAAGGAGAACTACATCGATCGCCAAGCGTGTTAACTCGGTCATAATCTAGCCCCGGAATCATTGCAGCTCCTTGTTGAATGCAACTGCACGCAGTTCTTCGATCCTCCGCGGTTTTTTGAATATCATGCATCTCTTTTATGCCGGCACAACAATCCGGTGGCACGTCCCCTGCAAACACTCCAAAGGGGATGCATGGAGTGAGTAACTGGACAACCTGCCCGCAAGTTACAGTTGCATTAACGGCGTAACGAGCAGTCACCAGCATGCATAGCAACATCACCGTGAATGCCGCCCTAGACACCGAAGGCCTTGCCATAGTTGCTAGATTTGCAGTGAGTAAAAAAAAAAATTCCTTTTGGTTTTAGGTTGCTTGGGCAGAAAACACACATGTTAATTGCCCTTATATAGGGAGTCTTGGTCTCCGCTATGTCCAAGTTAACCATCAAGTGTATGACAACACAGTATCTGATCTGTTAGCATTGGTCATAGGGGCTGCAGGAAAATTCAACTTCGGTGTACCGATGGCCCATGGCCGGAAAAATGAGTGCAGAAAAATACAAAGGGTTCCGATCGAGTGAGCCATCATGCCGATAAAAGGGTTCCGGGAGGGACTTGAGTAGGAAGGCCGAGACAAATGCATGCCAAAGGACAAGAGAGATGGGAACTTTCTACAAAAATGAAGCTTCCATATCTCTTCCTCTACTTCGAAATATCCCGCCGTCAGGAATGCAAGGTTCGAATTACAGCATGGTACTGTCAGCTTTCGGAAATTCCTCGACTGTTTTGTTATATCTGAATTTACTTGTTTCCTTGTTCTTTCCGACTTTTCTGATGTAAGAAGAAGACTGGTATTTTCTGGCAAGAAAAACCCAACTATGTTAGCCTGATTTCGATTTCAACGATTTCTAACTCATTAGAGGCATTTTTATTCCTTTGGCAATTGTTTAATTGCTTCAAAGAGTGTGTATATTTAAGCACCACCCTTCTTATCTAACAACTCTTTGACACAAATCATACGTAGCGGAACAAAATCGAGTTTTAAAGGGTTAAGTGGCAAAATTTGAGTTCCGAGCAAAAGTGGTTTTGTAATCGAGTTCCATGTGACATATATCTTCTTGGGTTGGTGACCTGGCAATACTAAATCTTCCCCAAGTACTTTATTTTCCAAAGTTGTTTATCCTTTTTTTGTTATAAAACGATATTTACACTAAGAAGTGAAAAATTTAGGTCAAGCACATATCAAACTCGTCATTCCCAAAAGATGAACCTAAAAATATATCACCAGACCAAGTTGAAAACTAAATCGGAGTGCGCTACCAACTTTCCTTTACGTCAACTGACAGAAAATCTTGCATGTCATGGTTTCGTATCACCCCGCTGCCCAAACGTACAGTGATGAATCCGGTATGGCTAAGTTCGACCCAGAACAGAACAATAGAAGAATATATAATATAGGCTAAAAACAGTTGATATCATTTTGTTATGCTTGAAGTCAAGGCCATCTCTGTACGTCCATCATTTATAAATTTATGGGAACATTTATACAGATACTTACTAAAAAACCCTCTATGCAAATCTGAAAACCCCCCACTTGCTAAATTGCTCATCCATGAATACAAGGAGCAAAAAGGAGCCAAAGAAGATCACCAGACCAAGTCAAAAACAGTTGATATGATTTTGTTATGCTTGAACTTAACCAACAGGATCCTCTCTGGATCCTTCTGGTGAAGATCCGTGAATCATCTCTGTTCATCGCACATCATGCGATTAGTTTTTGTCAAATATTGTTTATGTTTATTTTTAAATAAAAATATTTCAAAAGATTTTTTATCGTACGATATACGATAAACGAACACGATTCATGGATCCCCGGAATCCTCTCAAAGAGAATCTGGACTCTGAACTTAAGGCCATCTCTGTACATCCATTATTTATAAATTTATGGGAACATTTATACAGATACTTACTAAAAAATCCTCTTATGCAAATCTACAAACCCCCCACGTGCTAAATTGCTCATCCACGAATACAAGGAGCAAAAAGGAGCCAAAGAATACAAGTGGATAAAAGGACACTACAAAAAACATCTTGCATCCACATCCTGTAGTTGTACAGAATATGCTAAGAGCAAATGTACACGTCCGATAAGGTACGGGATGACGAAAATACAACCGAGTAGCAGAGTATTCACAGGTGCCGCTACCCCTTCATATTTCTCCACTTGTCCTTCAGATCAACCTGGACGGACATAGTAACCCCAAAAGTCTAAGACACAATATTGACTGATGAAGTAGAGACATTTCAGATGAATAGAAAAACTTGTTTATGGAATAAATTTATGTGGATGGATAAACGCCGTTGAAGATATTACAAAACTTGGCGTACCTGAGTTCTCTCTTTGAATATATCATAGTAGCTTTTCAAGATAAGGCTCCAGCTTCCTTCTCCATACCTTCGTCGAAAAACATCATACTAATGAGACTCAGAAGCATATACATACTGCTCAAACTAATATTTGCGCAAGTTGTAATGACAAGTATGAAATTTAGAGTGGTAAAAGGGAAACAAAAAGAAGGCAGAGAGAAGGGATGCGACATACTTCTGTACACCAGTCCTTAAGGTGTCTTCTTCCAATAAGCTCCATCTTTTAACTTTTCTTCTCTTACTAAATCTCGTATCCTCATGCTTCTTCAAAGGAGATACAGCAGTCCTCTTTGGGCTAGGAAGGTGAAGCCTGCCCGCATCTTTCTTTGTTCCTTCTTGTGATGTATTTATCGATTCCTCCCACTGAAAAAACAATTTTCAACAATAAGTGCAAATTTATAAGCAACCAGATCCACAAAATTGCAGAAGGGAATCAATCATAATAAAAACTGAACAAAACAACTAAACACCAGAGAAACTCATGGATTCAGTAAAATGTTTACGAGGAATATGTCATGTTCCCCTTGCAAGAAATACAAACAAATCAGGACATCAATAAAATGATAAGAAATAAACATCGTGAACATAAATACCTCGAAAGTACGGGTTGTACTATTACGTTCCGCCAAGCTAGGACGAGCAACGTTAGTCTGATTACTGAAAGAAGGATTTCTAAGATTGGCAGCATCAGTTTGAAGAGACTCAGTGCCTCCCGGGTCAACAGGCGGATTTGGAACATCCTTTTCTATTCCACTAGATTGAGGATCATTCTGATGTCTGGATGGAAGATTTCCAACATTATCATTATTAGATTGAACAGGCTCAGCACCCTTCTCGATAGATGGATTTTCTGCACCTACATCTTTTCCATTTACGTGACTTACAGATCTCATTGCCAAACTAGATCTTACAGTTTCAGACACTCGCAAAGCATCTGGAAGTGGATCTGTTACTAATTCTTGGAGCTCCGAAATACTGGATTTAAGTGCTTCCTGTGCTCTGTTAACTTCAGGGGTATCTAAGGAACCATATTTTCCATCTGATACATCTGTGCCTAAATCTTCAGCATCCCTAATCCTAATCGGTCCTCTGGTGCGTCTATGAGCAAGGTGCTTGCGTCTAGGCATAGCAGACCTCTGATTTTCTACAAGAAATAGAAAAAAAAAGAATCAAACAAACAGAAATATTATATTTTGAAACTGAAGTCTGTGCAATAACTATATTATGCAGGAGTATATTTAGCATGGCTAAGGCAGTATTCAAGATGATGAAGGAGCATAAGAACTAAGATAACACAATACAGAGCACTCTCTCAACATCCACGCACACAAGTTAATCTCACTAAAATTACCTTAATCTCTCTCCGTATGAAAATAAAAGTACCTTTATCTTTCGTGGAATGGTCAATACTGAGACCCAGCTCCCCATTCCGACCAGGTATAGCCAAGCCTGTCTCGTTCACTTGACCAGGAGCCTGATCATCAGCCGACCTGTGTACTTCTCTGTTTCTGAATCCAGAATCTATTTCAACCAAATCATTCAAAACCAAGCCCCGGCTCACAGTAGGCAGCGAGCTCCCTACCCGAACTTCCTTCAATGGGACTGCAACCAATATAGGACCCAATTCAGACCCATTACTAACATTAGCCCCGTTGACCATTTGCCCCTCATATGTACACCCATCACGTACATTAGCCCCATTCACTGGCTGCGCCCCCAACTCAGACTGACTACCCACATTAGACCCATTCGTAGTTTGTGCATGCCTTTGAGACCCATCACTCTCATTAGTCCCATTACCAGTTTGTGCTTCTGGCTCAGACCCATCGACCACATTTGCTCTACCTCTACTCACCATTTGTGCCTCCAATTCAGAGTGACCGGCCACATTAGTCCCATTCTTAGTTTGCTCCTCCAACTGGAACCCGTGACCCACATTAGTCCCATTAATCATTTGCTCCTCCAATTCAGACTTATCACCCACACCAGTCCCATTCTCCATTTGCACCTCCATATCGGACCGACCACCCACATTAGTCACCCTCACCACTTCATCTTCTAACTCCGATCCACTGGGCCCCACATTTGCCTCGTCCCGCAGTTGAGCCTCCATTTCAGACCCACCACCACCCACATTAGCTCTACTCGCTATTTGAGTCTCCAATTCAGACCCACCATCACCCTTAGCTCCATTCACCATTTGAGCCTCCAAGTCAGAACAACCTTCCCCCGCATTAGCCCCATTCGCCATTTGTACCTCCAATTCAGGCCCATTACGCGCATTAGCCCCCTTCCCCATTTGCCCTTCGAATTCAGACCCACCACCCACATTAACCTCATTGACCACTGCAATGTGATCAGCTTCCAAGTCGGCAACTTCCATGGGCACATTCAATCTAATAGCCCAAGTAATAAACGGAGGTCCTAACAACGCCAAAGCTTCCTTTACATAAACCGAAACCGATCTCAGCGCATCATTCCTCGTGTTCATACTCGACAACTTCTTCGACACTCGCAAATCCCAAACCCCTGCCTCGATCTCCTCCATTCGATGCCTCAACTCCGCCGATACCAACTGGCTCCTCCCAGACCGCTCCAAAACCCCAACCCTCCCTCTCCAAATCCGATCCACGGCCTCCAAGTATTTCCCACTAGGCTTTCCCATAAAACCCACTAAGAACTTGACCGTACACTCAGTGGCCACAGAGCAGTAGGCGGCTTTCATGGATTCCGTGGTGGCAATGCCTTCTCTGATATCCAAATCCTCAATCATTTCAAGCGTTTCGAGGATCGTTTCGGAGACCGAAGCTTCGTAGACTTCGCACTCGATCGTCCGGAGGAGTACGGTCTTCTTCAAGCGAAAGTCTTGGTCCGAGAAGGGTGCGACTGCGAGGAGCCTCTTGGCAATGCAATCCTTCTCGCGGTCCCGAAGGAGAAGCTCGATGACCCACCGCGAAACGTCGACGTCTGGGTCCATTGAATAAGGCAACCGAAAGCTTAATTCAGCAAGAAGGGTAGAAAATTGAATGTCAGAGATTGAAAAGTGAAGATCTTGAACCGCGGAGATTTTGCTTATTTGGAAAATTTGAGTTCTTGATGCAAAATTGGGAGCGCCAAAAAGGATTTAGGGTTTGAATTTTGAAAGGGCTGGGAATTGATCATCAAAATGACGAATGTCCACGCCCTAAACTTTGAATTTGGGGCTATTTGTGAGGATGGTAGACGAATGTTACCGTCTATAATCTGCTGTCAATTGGACCTAGAATTTGGGCCTGTAACTTAATTTGGGCTTCTTTGATGATTTTTTTTTTATATAAAAATCTTTTTATCTTTCAATTATCCTAATATGCAAATTATTTTTAGCACTACAAAATAGTCATGGCCAAGGTTGCTCTTTCTTATATTTGTTTAAATAGCCAAGCTTTGTGTATGTATTACAAAATATTGTTCAATTGTTATGAAATCTAATTTTCGATCATGATCATGATTCAGTTTCGCATTTCAAATGGTTCTGATCGATCGTCTAGCACAATAAGAATACTTTTAAAAAACACGATAAACTCAATTTGTCTTGTCACTGCAACACTTCACCGTTCTAAATTCTAATGGACGAGGCAACAAATAAGATAACTTTGCCTTGAGAGGTTTTATAAGGCAAAATTTGATAACATTAGCCTAGTCATTTTACTTATCACTTGAAATGACAAGTTCGTAGTGTGACATATAGAGAAAGGTTATGTGTCACATAAACTATCAATGATGAATCGAAACAAATAACCTTATGTATAACAGTAAATGATATCATTAACAACTAAAAATATAAGTAGTTAATAGATAATGGGGCATTTACTTTTACCAAACATTTTTTAACTGCTTCGCTTACAAAGAAGCAATTTTTTATAAAAAAACACAAACGAGGCCTAAGTTTCTTCGTAAATAATCTGTATCTGAATGCAAAGTGACACGCAGTAACCATACCGTCTTATCAAACTGACTTATGCCCGACAAAATTGCACCTGAAACCCTAGGAGGAATGTGCATGGACTCATATATTGTAGGCCCCATACGAATAACATAATATACCTTCAAGCACCCACAACAAAGGAGTAAATTCCAACCCCGTCCTGCATTTGCTTCGTCCTCCTCGTCCTCCTCCCAGCTGCTCCAGGACCCCTACTGAGTGTCAAGACCCCATAGCAGTAGAGAGAACTGGGAGAGTAACCTTCAGTCGACTCTGAACTCTCTCTCTGTATCAATGGCTCGCTGCACTTTCAAATCGGACGATATCATAATAAAGTCGCCGAATGACAGACGATTATACAGATTAATCAAGCTCGAGAATGGCCTCTCGGCATTGCTCGTTCACGATCCTGAGATTTACCCAGAAGGGCCGCCTGATCACTCCAAATCCGTCGAACACAGTGAAGCTGAAGAGGAAGAAGACGAAGATATGGACGACGAGGACGGAGATGAGGGGGAAGACAGTGAAGGAGAAGAGGATGAAGAGGACGATGACGAAGAAGGCGGAGATGGTGAACTGAAGAAGAAGGGGAAGGGTGGAGACTCTCAGACTAAGAAGGTTGGTCTTTTGTTTTACATTGAAATTGTGAAATGCCCATCTCGCATTCAAGTTTATTTGATTTAATTTTATTGAAAAGTGAAAACCCAGTTGGAGAAACTTGGTAAGTTGGCATTACAAAGATAGGAAATTGATTTTAGGTTGGAAAACAGTATGCATTTTTGGTTGAATGATTGATACCCGATTACAGAAACTTTAGGATTTAAACTATTACTTGGTTACATACTGCTTCAAGTTTCCACCATCATTGTTTTTTTTCTGATAATCTATTAGCTATCGAACTTTCGTACCTTTGTACAAATTTTCATTTAAAGTGATAACGAAGTTTTGATAGCATAATTCCAAGTGGAACCAATGGTGGGTACTGTTTGTCTTCGAGTAAAACCTTTGAAATTGTTTTTGGTCATGCCGTTTGCAAGTCCGATTACTGCACTGATATTCTACTTTAATGATTGGGATGATGTTTACTCAGCTCAGTTAACAGAATTTGATTTATGTGAAGATGTTTGATCGTATTTGCAGGCAGCAGCAGCAATGTGTGTGGGAATAGGCAGCTTCTCCGACCCTTTGGAGGCACAAGGGCTTGCACATTTTCTAGGTTTGTGTTGCACATGCTTACATGGTTCATGGAAGGGCGTACTAGTGAGTGTTGAGGCAAGCATAACTAACAAATTGAATGTTTTGCAGAACACATGCTCTTCATGGGGAGTGCAGAGTTTCCAGATGAAAATGAGGTCTGTTTGTACACCGAGTATTCCTTTCTGTTTTGGGGTGCTAGTTATCTTCATTTTTATTTGCAAGTTATTGGGAGATGTACATGATCCCTTGTGCTATTCATCATAAATGAGGTGTACTTACTGTATGTGGAAATAATTAAGCCGCATGAATTTTCCCTCCATATAGATTATAGATGGTAATCTCACTATTTATATTTATTCGTTCCTCAAGCAACACCATCAGCCTGCTTAGTTCTGTTTCTTATGAAAAAAAAACATCACCAGCTTGCTTGTTCTATGTATACGTGAGTGGGATGATTTGTTTGTTCTTTTGCTGCCAACCTGCTTGCAGATGGGTCAGGCTGTATGGAACACTAATTCAACGTATGATAGTGTCATTTGTGAACATTAATTTACTTATACCTTATGGGAATGGATGCCATTTCAGATTTATTACAGTAATTGTTTATGGTAGTTTTATCTTCATTTCTGCTCATTGTTTAATAGTAAAATTGATATTTAAAAGTAATCTATTTTACTTGCTCCAACATTTCCTGAAAATTTCACTCAAGCTAAATAGGAGAAGTCTGTATTTGTGGCCACTCGTTTTGACTCTTCTCTTTGCTAGTATGATAGTTACTTGTCCAAGCATGGAGGTTCATCAAATGCATACACAGAAGCAGAGCATACCTGCTACCATTTTGAAGTGAAGCCAGAGTTTCTTAAGGGTGCCTTGAGAAGGTGTACTATGAGCTCTTCATGCTTTGAATATTTATAACTTGAAGTCCTTGGTATTGAGTATGTATTGTGGTTAGTGTGGGACCATAATTCAATTCCAACAGTCAATTAAACAAGGCTACAGGTTTTATTGATGCTTCCTGCATTGACCTTGAATCTTGTGTTGCCTCAGCATTTGTAGTTGAAAATGTTGTATGATTGTCATACTTATGTTTCAAAAGCATCAAAACATAATATGGCGTAGGAAGTGTAGGTTAAATCATTAGATTACGTTTTGTTTATTTATTTTTTATTATTTTCTGAATGCATGTTAATGATATTACCTACTGGTGCACAACCATATAAAAATGTTGGTATGGAAGTGACGTTCTCCAATTAATAAGGTCCAACAGTATGTTTCTTTTGGTTCCTCAGTGTCTGGCTCACCACAATTATTTCACTGGATAAAAAAATGTTCAAAAATAGTTGTCAAATTAATATGCATGGTAAAATTTTCTGTGCTCAAGGTTCCAATTGCAATATATTTAGCTAATAGCATGTACTTGACCCTTTGTATGGAATACTCTAGTTATATTTTTCTCATTCAAAATTGCTGTTTCAGAAACCTGGTTTGTATTCATTATGGCTCTTTATTTTATCAGATTTTCTCAGTTCTTTGTTTCACCTCTAGTGAAAATTGAAGCAATGGAGCGAGAGGTACAGGCTATAGATTCAGGTGCATGCATGTCTTACCTACTCTTCTTGATTCCAGCTTTTTGTTTACAGTATTGCTCAATGCAAATGTTCTAATGCTGAATGGTATTCTTTGTTGTTAATGAAAATGCAATGCAGAATTTAACCAGGTTCTGCAGAATGATTCTTGCCGCCTTGAACAAATTCAGTGTCATACATCTGCTCCCGGTCACCCATTTAATAGGTTCTGTTGGGGTAAAACTTTAATCCATTGTGCAAACTTGTCCCTCTCTTCCTCTCTCTCTCTCTCTCTCTCTCTCTCTCTCTCTCTCTCTCTCTCTCTCTAAAAATGTATTTTGTACATTTTTTTATGTGTGCTTGAAAGGAAATAAGAAGAGCTTGGTTGATGCAATGGAAAAAGGGATCAATTTACGAGAACAAATACTAAAGTTGTATAAGGATTATTACCATGGTGGACTGATGAAGCTAGTTGTCATTGGTGGAGGTGAAAATATTCCTTTCCTATTTTCTTTTGCTCTTTGTTCTTTTTTTTGTCTTTGACTATTGTTTATTTGTGGATGAATGTTAGTTAAAAAGAGCTACCAATTTTTATATCATGCACAACACACGGCGTGCTTGAATGGAAATAATGGAACATTTTCAATTTGACTTTGTAGATTTCAATCACATTACTAATCTACTTAGGGTTTCTGTTCTGTGGATGATGGTTCTTTGAACTGGTAGGGGTTGATACTAGTGTTCACTATTAGTCTATTACACAATAGAATATTTGTGTATCAAATAAAAAACCATCCATGTGATCATGTCCAATCATTTATGTGTACGATTAGCCAACCAATTAGAATATTGCTTATTTATCAATTCTATTTCATGTTAATTATATTAGTTCTAATTGCTGCAGAATCTCTTGATTTACTTGAGGATTGGGTTGTGGAATTGTTTGGTAATGTCAAGAAAGGCCCCCAAGTAAAACTGGAGTTCAAGGCGGAGGGTCCTATCTGGAAAGCTGGCAAACTATACAGGCTAAAGGCTGTTAGAGATGTTAACATACTCAACCTTACATGGACATTTCCATGTCTTCATCAAGACTATTTGAAGAAACCAGAAGATTATTTAGCTCATCTACTTGGACATGGTAAGATGAATCATTATTATCTAATCTGATGTTGATTATTATTCCTCTGCAGGGAACAAGAATTTCTTCAGCAGAAAAAAAAAAAGGACGTTAATTTAGAATTTTTCTATTTTTTAGTAAAAGCAGCATTTACAAATTTCTAAAGTAGACGTCTCTAGAAACTTCGATAGTAAGATCTAGTTTTATTTTGTTCGAAGGGAGCCCGAATCCTTCAGTTCCATCTGTCACTTTGCATCTCATTGATATTTTTTCACCTTAAAATGATATCTGACAGTGTCATTGCTTTTCTGCATTAGATTTTGTTGCTTTTGCATTTCATGTACATTACATGTTA